CTCATCTTGTGGATACAGAACACAAGATTGACGTTAATCATGCTTTCAGGGTCATTTACCGCATACCTACGAATCTCACTTTTGCCTTAAGAGTTCGTTTACTAAATATTGCTGAGACTGGCCGTTGGGATCCATATTAATAAGCCTAATTTATGTATCCAAAAGAAGTTAGTTCAGACATTATCATTACCTTGGCCATCTAGGTTTGAATGATCCTGAATTTTTGTGGAATTTTCCTAATTTTATTTGATATTCTATTCGCTGCTATATCTTTATTATTATTATTTAAGCATCTTTCATGAACTGTAATTCCAATGATCTTACTTTACAAATCGATATTATTTTAAAACCACTAATATTTTTAGTGACTACTATTCTAGAATATTCTATGTATATAAACATATGTATATAACTGTAGAGCCAGAGGAGGAATTTGTGGAAAAGGGTATTCATTGCTCGATTATTTTGTGTTTTATAAATTAATAATTGTGAATTTGAACTAGTTTTAAGATTTAATAGTGTGGAATATTCTTGCAAAACAGGAATTAAAAGTCAATCTGAACGAAGAATATTCTTTTCAGTAATTTCACTTCTTCAGGTTCTAACAATTATAAAATATAACGCATTTGTTATCGTTACAATAATGGCCAGTTATGCGGCGGATACATTTTTTACGTAGAATAACAGATTAGTTACAGGGTGTCACAAAATAAATAGAAGTCGTGTGACAAACGTACTGGGCTGAATTCAATTACAAAATATTGTGAAATGGGAGACACTAGTGATGATTAGTCACAATAGATTCTGTGGAGAAATAGCCTCAATTTTTACGTCTACAGTTCAGAGGGAGATACTCCTGTGAAGATTCTATCGCAGCGTTTAACCATGGCGATAAAGAAAACTTTCTGCTCTGCACATCTGTCCATCCAGCAACTGAAAGATGTCTTACCTAACCTTAGCTCTTCCTCATGCATTTACCATTTCAACTGTTCCTGTGGTTCAAGTTATATAGGGCGCACGATTAGGCAGGTTCAGCTACGGGTTCGAGAACATTTACCAGCTTGGTTCTGCCAGGGGTAAGCTTGATTCTGTCACATTTGGTCGATACTGGACATCGCGTCGACGTCAACACAGCCTTCAGGGTTAAATACCGAATTCCGAAGTCGTTAACACGTACAATTCGCTTACATCTCCTACACATAGCCGAAGCTGTTGTAATAAGATCGACTAAACTGGAACTTTGTATCCAAAAAGAACACGTCCAAACGCTGTTCCTACCCTGGTCAAACTTGGATTAATGATTCTTCTTCTCACCAAGAGTACCTTTTCCCCTTATCCCTCTTCGTTTTTTCTTTGCTATTATTACAATTATTATTATTATTTATAATTTATACCCTTCATGCAAACATTCTCTCAATACTATCGAATTTTAGTTTACAGATAAAGTCTTTGAATGATACCCAGGAGAGAAGTAGTTAATTACAACATTCACAGCTTCTAAGGTATGAGAATTAAGCTAATTTCAATGAGAATTCCTTCTGATTACATACATACTAAAATCCAGTGTCAATTTATAGTGTTCAACAGACTTTGACTAACGTCCATGAATTACTTTGAGCAGCTGGGAGTGATTGCAGAGTTCTTTTTGTGACATCTTTGATGAACTAATAAGTCAGATATTGACTAAAATGTATACAGTCTCCTATAAGAGTGTCGTCAGAGAATTTTTCAAAGTTACTGAGGTGCGGGGGGGGGGTGGTATTATTGATGGAAAATACACTACATCATTAAGGGAGGTTTTCTGAGTTTCATACTGAGTTGTCAATATTCAATCCTCGTATTAGATACTCGTCGCCTGATTAACCAGTACTTAGCAATAAAATAGAACAAAACTGGCTAATTGAGTTTCCTCATTCATACGCACACACACACCCGTGGTCCCGATGAGTCGAGAATTTAAATTTCCGATAACTAATAACAGTGAGTACCAGAAAAGAATAGAAAACGTCACTTGTTTCAAATAAGAAACCTTACATAGATCTTGAGAGAGGAATTTCATCATTTTTGAGGAGAACATTCCTCCGAGCAATGCTAAGATCAGTGTTCTGCCGTCGTCCATTGGTCTGCAGAAGCTTTAAGGACAAGATCTTGCATCTGACCACTTCTGTGTGCATTTCGTATGCATGCTGCTGTGAAGTCAGGTACAGTGGTAGCGCGACGTGTATTCTGTCCAAAAGGGTTCAAGAATATTATCCCGAATGGTTGCAGAAACACATTAGTGGCTCTATAAGGAGTTCAATAACCGAACACCTTGTCAACACTGGTGATTTCATCTCAACCAACGCCACCTTCAAAGTGATCTACAAAGTGAAGAATAACCTACCAAAGGCAATACGCTTTGTACTGCTGAAGCCTTAGCCATTCAGTTTTTGAAAAGCCAGAGTTATATGTACAAAAGAAAATTATTCAACCACTTCTAACATCATGATAACAACCTTGTTCACTTCTAATAACTTGGTTTTAGTTTTTTTTTGCCAACTCCTTCTAAGTCTTGTATTTCTTTACAACTCTTACATATAAATCTATGTTTTCCTTCGTTTATATGTGCATCCTGATGACAACTCAATCGTCATTAAGTTATTCATAATATTGCGTAACTTTAATACACTTATTCGACTCCTTTCATGCATTGACTAATATTAACAAGTATGTTTGTGACAACTCATCACTTTGCTTACTACCGTCTTTCATGAAAAACGGATTGTATAAAAATGAATTTGCTGGGAAGAGCCTCTTCGCTGAACTATGTGTTTTGCTTTCAATAATGTCTGGGTGGGGATTATTCACGAATAGGAGCCTAATCATCATAGTATTATTGTTTCGTGGAATACCGGTGACATACAAGGCTTCGAACCTCGAAGTAGCCCTACCGTTCAACTGTGTCTCACCTTCTCCACTCTTTTTCATTATCTTGTTTGTAAATATAACACACTGCCGATATTTTAGGTTACAATTCGCACCAGTTCAGTAAAATATTATTAAAAAGTGAAAGGCGCTGAAATTTGGCGAATGCCGACCACTTAGCTTCAATAATCCTATGATCCAGCCGTAGAATTATCTTCCTAAGACTCTTGAAACTAGTCAGAAAGAGTGAATCAGTACTAATTAGTACTCAGTTAAGGAACTCAGGCATTTTTTAGGTCGATGATGAGAGCACCGTGGGTTGAAACACCACGGAGAATACGCCTGGTGGTTATAGTGAAACGATGATATGGTCAACAGCAGGGTATTGGGCTTCTCAACTGAGCGATGTCCCACCTGGTAAATTTAACAGGCCTTTGGTTTGAATCCTGCTGTGATCCGGACATTTCATTACACCCCCTCCGCAACCAACCATCACTGACTACTACACTTTAAGATCAATAATTCGTCTAGAAGATCCCTCTGAATGAAGACTTAAAAGTTTTATTTGATATGTGGTAGCGGCTGGTACTTTTCGTCCAGCTAAGGGCTCATCAACTGATGAAGCACTACATATACACTAACGGATATATTATAGCCTATCTGTTTAGTCGTTTATGATCACACCTGAAGGGTTTTTATCTCCATAGATATGAAAAACAGAATGAAGATAAAGACGATTAAAAACGGGGAACATTTCCACATTGATGAATATAAAGAAGTTTTTTCTCTGAGAAAAACACGAGCAAACAAAAGAAGAGGCAAGCAATCAACAACTCTTTCTACAACCAAAATATTATTAAGCTATCTTTTAACAATCCGCCCGGAGGGACTGAAGACAAATACTCGCCTTGGATGACACTGGTTGGTGGTGGTCACGCTCAAACAGATCATGAATTTGTAGAAGTTAGAATTCATGGGTTGGCCATTGAAAAATCAGGTCCCAGTCACTGGTGGAATAGTCTATGAGCTCGACTTGTAACAGGAAGGTCCTCAGTTCGAACCTTATCGGTGAGTCACAACACTAGTACTCCCTGCGGCTGGTTTTCTAATGGTTCTCTAACTGTGATATCAATCCGAGGTCAAATCCCTAAACACTAACTCTAGATAACAACGCTAGTCTTCCAAAACAGTATTTGTAACGTTTTGCTTAGTTTCTTTTGTAAATTTGTACTTTTTTATTAAGAGTTATCCTGTTAAGATTAATAATAATAATAATGATATTAGCTTTATTCTGAAAAATGCGTCTAAACACATTATAGAATTTGGAAGAAGTTTCTTATCGTGAAGAATCTTAAAGTAATACAAAAAACGATAATCATATTAACTGACGAGATATTGCTCTTTTTCCCGAGGCATTCATCAATAATTGCATATTATTTCTCTTTCATATCTATCAGAAAATTCATAGCAATAGGTTTAAACTTATTTGGAAATGTGCTTTGAGTATACATTACGATTCTTAGACATCACTGTATGATTAAAACATTATGAAATGGAGTAAATACTCTGTTTTGAAGATTTTATTTGTTTTTCAATTTTTACCATGGATTTACATCAGTTAGGGAGCCATTGAAAACCAGGGGTGTACAAATCTGATGCTCACTAGTGACTTGTTACAGGAAGAAAATGCCTGGAGTTCTAGTGAAAACTCGTGACTAGTGAGGTTTATCTAGTCAGAAGTGAGAATGGAGTTTCCACCGATGACATTGTTTTTGATGGTCGCCCTAAAACAGATCACGAATCGGTGTTAGAAGTTAGAATTCATGGGCTTGTCATTGAGGAGTTGTGTCCCAGAGGCTGAATGTTATACGAGGGTCCTAGGTTCGAAACTTAGCGGTGGATGCGTACTGTAGGACGAAACAGCCGTCCAGTACTCCAGTGGAGGTTTTCAATAGTTCTCTAACTGACATCAATCCGCGGTCAAACTCGTAAGCACTATGTATTTAGATGGACATTATGTTGATCGTAATAACAAGCATTAGTATTGCGTAATGTATATATATAGAGAAATATTAAGTAAAAAGTTCATGACTCACTTCAAGATTCTTGAGATAATCCGTTAGTTGGATTGATTCCACACGATATGGACCAGTCATTTTTGATGAAATTTGCTCTCAAGAGCAGTTGTCTTCAAAGTTGATATCAATCAGATATATATATAGATGTATAGTGAATACAAGTATCAATAATAATAGTAATCGGAACTATGGAGAGTACTGTTTATTCTCTCTCTCTCTCTCAATGTGATCGATGCAAATAGTACTCGATTGTGTTGTTTGTTTCTGAGATGTTTTTTACGAAATTTCTATCCAAAACAGAAGAAGAAGAAAGTATCTATATGTGTGTGTATAGATTGGACTACCCCGTTGTTGTTTTTTTTTCGAAGTCTTCTTTGTGAAGTTGATTGAAGTACAAGACGAAGTACAAGACGAAGAAGAAGAAGAAGTATGTGATGAAGAGAAGTCTAATCGATGCAAAGTAACAGGCAACTTTGAATTATCTTCATTCAATATGTATTAGATATGAGTTTGTTCAGAGGCACATATATATATTTATATATAGAGTATGTGTATATATAAATTTTCTCACATACATAAATATATATACTCACTCATTCACCGATCCACACAGAGTTAGATAGATATGCGCATGCACAAATACAAAATCACATGCACTGAGTACACTCGTATCTCGAATAGAAGATAATAGGCTTAACAATAGAAAGTTATGTTATTATTAATATTATTAATATTATTATTGATGACGGTGAAAGGCAGTTGAAATCTGTCAAATTAGACAGTTATTTTACTGATTCCAAAGAAAAAAAAAATGTAATAGTAGGAGTAGATAACTATTATACTACTAAAAATATTGTTAATAAGTAGTACTAGTAAGTACAGTTATAAATATACGAACGTGTATTGATTCTCAGCGGAAAATATATTAAAACTGAAAACGAAAATCAACACCGAAGTTTATTCTTCTCACAGAATTAGAGAGAGATAGAGAAATGAAAAAAGAAACTCAGAACAGAAACACACAACAACACCTCTAATTCTAGTTTGCGTTGTTTGTTCTGCCTAACTACTTTTAAACACAAAAAATTGTGAATATATCCAAGATGTTGAGCAGTTTCTTTTTCGTTGTTGTTGTTGGCTAGATTAGATAATGAATGAATGATGCGAAATTGGCCAATCAGATTCGAGTATTGAATTTTTTGTTTGTTCTATTACAAACAACACGTTAGCACAAAATGGTGCTAGTTGGAGGAGGATTGATTATATCATAATCAATCGATACGTGAGTCTGTCAGTGTGTGTGTATGTGTATAGAATGAGAAGACCAGTCAGAATGTGTGTGGATACTGACTCAAGTATTAACTTACTCTGCACTAATGTGCTTATTTGTGTGTGTGTTTGTATGTTTGTGTGTAGGAGTTTCAGGTGTTCATAGTCTACCGCCGCCTACACACGAATATCGATGAATATTAAATTTATTCAGTTAGTTTTTCATATTACTACCTATTTTGTGTTTGAATTCAGTAAAAAAGAATGTGGTTGACAAACACTCATTCACCCTCTCTCTCTCTCACCGTTTGTGCATGTGTGAGTGGGTGAGTTTCAATGATTCATAGATATTTTTTAATTCCAAAGATTGTTTTAGTTTGGCTTTATAACAGTCGCGCTGAAATAATGATTATAATACTCAGAAATAGACGGAAAACTTTGGCAAGTTTAGTTGTGATCTCAAAGTGAGATTTTGTACCAGAATGTTTGTGTGTGTTGTGTGTGTTGAACTACTTATTGTGATAAATAGTTTGGAGAAAAGATTATTTGTATATCTAGTGAGATGTTCAATGGTTTCAACACTCTCGAGTTGTACACAAACGCAAACACACACACTCAACTCACACACTCATACTGTTCAAGAAACCTTGAATCTACTATGCTTATTTATGTTTGTTTGAATTGTGATAAACACAATCGATCCCCAGTTAACGAATGAGCAAACAAACAAACAAACACTTAGGTCTATAAGGTCATTCAGTTAGATTATTATCATCATCATCATTAGCATAAGTTCATTGAGATTATTGATTTTTCGGTTATAAGAGAGAAATTCATAAAGAAAGACACTTTTTTTACCTGGTTGATATTGATTTTATTCATCTCTAGGTGTAGCATCATTTATTTTTGAAAAATTTACCAGTGTATTTTCTTGGTTTCGATACAACGCTTGGTTCAAATATAACTTGTAGAAAAGAAAAATATTTATATATTTTATATTTTATATTTTATTATAGCTTGATTCCACACAGTATTTTGGTACAAGTATGAAATTTTCAGCGTGTGATATCGGTAGCCCAAATTTAGCAGGCCGACCATAGATATCAGGTGTGCGTCGGCGGGAGATCGAACCTCGGACCATGTACATGGTCGGAGACAGTCCTAACCTCTGTGCTACCGACGCACAGAGAGAAGAGACTCTCATCAACGAATTTATTATCAAGCTGTACAATCGTATATATGAGTATGCGGTTTTTAAGAAATTATACACAGTAAGAAATTCCATATTAGTTTGTTTATTAGATGTATCACAACGTGAAACAGTATTATTTTCTGGATGACGTTTCGAACAAAATTTATTGTTGTTCATAATCATGTCATCAATTATAATCACACAACTTCGAAACTTGAGTTTTATAGTTTTCTTTGTCCTCTCCTATTTGTCGTCGTTGGGGTAGTAGAATTTTCCAGATAGCTGGCGGGGACAGGTGTTGAATCATTCCTATTACACGTATTTGCAGTTGATTCGATAAACAAAATCAGCAACTTTCAAAAAGTCAAAAAACAATCAAATCAAAAAGTTCAATAAATTATTAGAAGAGAAATCTTCACCTCAGAACGACGAAGTCAACAATCTAAAGTCAACGGTGGTCGATAAAACAAAATGGGTTATCAATCTCTCAACACATATATTAAGTCCTACAGAAATAAGTGTATTAGAAAAGGGACTAAATTTCAATGTAGCGGTTGACAAGCTGAAACCTGAGGATGTCATCCCTTAAGTAGAAATAGCACTAAGTGGGATAGACAAAACAATGGCTGACGAAGTACGGGCACAATGTGCACTTACATTAAAACGATAAAAACGTGGAAAGCCTAACCTGACAAAACCAGAGATAGAAGCCCTAAAACACCTTAAGAATAACAAGGATATGGTAATCACAAAGTCAGACAAAGGAAATGCAAAAGTAGTATTAGACAAATCAGACTATTTGAACAAGGTGAACACTCACATACAAACGGATATTTGGACTTCCGATCATCTCATCCTATGTCAGTAAAAATAGGGTTGGTGAAATGTTTAAGTGACAGAGTACAAAAACTAAGTAGCATACCAAGGAAAATCTAAGACAGGAAGTGAGACATATAAGAGAAGCCTTGAAACTTAATAATTACCCTGATAAATTAGTCAGAAAGTATATAGGGAAATGTAAAAATAAAGTAAATAATGATAGTAGTGATAGTGATAATAATAATAATAATAGTAATATTAATGACGACATGCATGTCAAACATGCACAAGATAATGACAACACCAACAATAAGGAATCTGAATCATCAGAATTCTTAACAAGGCAGGAATAAAGTGGCTGGCATTCAAACCCACAAACTCAATTAGAAACAAGCTTTGTTGGTTAAAGGATAAATCCCGTGGAGCCTTTAAAACAAAACAATTTAGTTAATTTAATACCCTGCCTGCGATGATTGTCAGGTCAAATACATAGGTCAAACTAGTAGAACAGGGGCAGTCAGACTAGCCGAACATAAAAACCTAGCAAAATCTAGATTGGTTGACCCGAATAAGATAAGAAATCTAGAGAATGGTTTAGCTATAGCCCTCACTACATGCAGTTACACACAACCACACAATAGGATGGGATAGGATGACAGTTTTAAAATCTAATGTCACAGGGTATAGGGAGAGATTGATAACGGAAGCTTTGTTTATCGAATCAACTGCAAATACATGTAATAGGAATGATTCAACACCTGTCCCAGACAGATATCTGGAAAATTCTACTACCCCTACGACAAATAGGAGAGGACAAAGAAAACTCAAGTTTCGAAGTCGTGTGATTATAATTGTTATGATTATGAACAATAAATTTTGTTCGAAACTGTGTCATCCAGTAAATAATACTGTTTCATCACTGTGTGTGATATATCTAATAAACAAACTAATATGGAATTACTTACTACCACAGTGCCCAAGTTTTACACATATATTAATACACAGTAAGAGAATTGAATCATAGGTGTGAATACATGAAATAATAATAGTAGTATGAAGTGCAATTAAAATTAAAATGTTTGGGATTATAATCATAGCTAAATGTCGTAAAATAGACTAATTCACAGGATTTATAGAACTTGGAAGGGGTGTGCAATTATGGGATTGATAGGCGAATAGAATAAAAAAAGGTTACGTAACATCGTGTGAAATTTGATAATATTTGATACCACGTTTTATAGACAAGAATATACAGTCAAATCCTATGAAATGTGACTTATCATCCGTACCCAAGAAAATACTGTACATGAGCTTGGAAATCAAAGGTGACTTAGCTTCCGATATCAAAAAAGAAGAATCTCACAGTCCGTGAAAAGAACATTCCCTGCTGCATAGTTGAGAATAGCCTTTACCAGTCAACCATTATTTTCCAATAACCTGAAGGACAAGATCCAGCTGTTGACCAAATCTATGTGCGTTTATCAATTCACCTGCTCAGGTGGAGCTAGGTATATCGATCGTTGAACTCGTATTTTATCCAAGAGGGTGCAAGAACACTATCCTGCCTGGAGCAATAAGAAGCGCGATCATTGAACATCTGGTCGATAATGGAAACCCTGTCTAAAGACAGTCCCCGCCTTTAAAGTTGTCTACAAGCCGAAAATTAATTTGCCCAAATCACTACATATTGACTCATCTGTCTTACTGAAGCTTTGGCCGTCGACATAGAGAAGCCAGATCTCTGTATACATAAAAAGATGATATACATATACTACTCATTTTTATTTAATACCCAGTT